CTTGTTTCTTGTCTTCCTTCTAATGGTTTGGAGAGTAGGTTGACTCCCTCTTCTTTGTGGCAGCCCCTCAAATATTGGAAGACTGCTATCATATCACCACTAGTCCTTCTTTTCACTAAACTAGACCTCCCCAATTCCTGTAACTGTTCTTCATATATTTTAGCCTCTGGTTTCCTAATCAATTTTGTTGCTCTTCTTTGCACTCTTTCCAGAGTTTCAACATCTTTTTTTGTATTGTGGTGACCAAAAATGGACACAGTTTTCCGAATGTGGTATAATTCTTTTTAGTTCTGCTGGACAAATAATGGTCAATGTACTTACCAAGCCTTCCTTCCGGTGCCCAAAAAGAATGTTGGTTTGAAGTAATTTCCGATATCTGAGGTAAAATTATGCTGAGTCTGCAACTTCAGGGACTTCTGAAAAAAAGAGAAGAGGGATATTGCATGGCTAAAACTGTGAAGCAGCTTGTTTTGTGTAACAGTTAAGGCCAACAATATCTGCTTTAAACCTCTGTGATTTTAAGCCACAATGTATGGAACCTTTCTTTATCTAATAATGCCGTGCTAAGAAAAAGCTGCAGATTTCTATGTATAAATTATTAGCTAAAAGCAAATGAGCAAGCCAATACTCTTTTTCCAAGTTTCCAGATCACAGGACAGATGTATACTGGATATTATTCTCTAAACTGGAAACCAAATTGTCTTATAGAAAAAAATGGAAATAAAGATTTGAATCCAGGAATTATTTGTGTGTGTCAGTACATTTCGGGTCTTGGAGAAGTGGTGTACATCTGAGGGAGACCAGCTTAGGGAAAACACATGCCAATCAAAACCACTGACTTCTTCCTTTCCATCAAAACAGACTTTTCAAATAATAGTTACAGGTAGTCCTGAAATTTCAGCCATTTGTTTAGTAACTCTTCAAAGTTACAACAGCACTAAAAAAAAAAGTGACCTTTTCAGTCTTCACGATGATGCCTGTTGCAGCATTCCCACAGTCATGGGATTAAAATTCAGGCACCTGGCAACCAACCTGTCATTTATGATGGTTGCAGCATCTTGGGGGGGTCATGTGATCACCATTTGCAACCTTCCCAAATGGCATCTGACAAGCAAAGTCAATGGGGGAAACCGGATTCACTTAATGACCGCAGAACTGCTTTTGAATTCTTTCAACCTAACAGGAGGGCAGCTTGACTGCTGAATGGATAGACTTTACCTTATACAGATAGTCATTCGATTTACAACGGTTCATTTAGTGACTGTTTGAAGTTACAACGCCACTGAAAACCATGACTTGTGACTGTTGTTCACACTTATGACCTTTGCAGCATTCTCATGGTCAAGATGATTGACATTTGGATGCTTGGCAACGGACTCATATTTACGACTGTTGCAGTGCCCTACGGTCATGTCGTTTGTGACCTTCTGACGTGCAAAGAAAATGGGGAAACCAGGTTCACTTAACAACTGGGTTACTAATTTAAGAACTGCAGTGATTCACTTAACAAATGGGGCAAGAAGAGTCGTAAATGGGGCAAAACTCACTTAACAAATTTCTTAGCGACATACATTTTGGGCTGAATTGTGGTCGTAAGTTGAGGATTACCTGTACTTCCCTGCTCAGTACTAAATATTGTTTTGAGCTGAAAATTAAGGAGAGAACCCCGCCCCCGATAACCTTGAAGAATAGAGCTCGCTCTTGCTTTAAAACAAAGATTATTTATTTCAGTTTGGAAGCTGCCCAATTCCAACCAGCTCTTTTCATGGAGGTCTATTTTCTCACTTCTTGAACCCTTTGAACATTTCTTTTTTTTGGGTGTGGGGGGGGAGAAAAGCTTCCTGAAAAGAACCCAGGTGCTGCCCAATGAGATCATGAGAAACCATAGCAGAAGAAAGGAATTGTCAAGAGGTGAATCACCACTTTTGCCCAATGATGCCTGGCTGAGTTTGGAGGTGAGAACTAAGTGGGTGAAGCCACGGGGCCTTTTCTCTCCTACATCATCACTGAATGAACTATGCGAGGAGCTGCATGACAATCTGGAACTTTTATTACTCACTGCAAATTAAGAAAGGTCAAAACTCCATTGACCAGACGTATCAGATGAGATTTGGCTCCGCAGAGCAGGAAAGTTTGGCACACTGAAACCGTTTTCTGCTCGGTACAGTCCCTTACTTTTCCCTGTAATGAAAAGAAAAGCAATTCAGGAACCCTGGACGGGTCTCCACTGAGCTCACACACGGAGTAATAGTCCTAGACTTATGCACATCACTGGTAGTATTGGAATTTCCACTGAAGCTCATTGGGATTGTAAAGGAAGTCTGATCAAACTTTATAACAATTTGCTAAGTGGTTATTTAGTACTTATTCATGCAGTCCTTAAGTGAATCCTGTTGCCCCAAATGAACGTTTTTGTTGCCAGAAGTTGGCAAAAGAGATAGCAAATTGCAATCACAGGGCATCATAGCTGGTCACAAAAGTGAGTCAGTTGCCAATTTTAATTACGAAATGGCCAGAGTGGCGCGATGGCTTTAAGTAGGGGTTTTATATATAAGTCACTTTTTCTGAGGGCATTGTAATTTTGAACCTTTGTCAGATAAATAAATCAAGAAGTACCAGTACTTGCCATGTCCTTTCTAAACCAGGTGAACAGGAGCAGGCCACTTCACCTCAAAGGAAAAGGCTAAACCAAGTGAGGAAAGTGAAATCATGATTGTTGGTCTAGACCCACATCACACAGTCATGGCTGCTTACACACACCTTGCCTGACAGCTCTGTTTTGAAAACTTGAGATTGGGTTGAAATATAAGGAAGTGGCTGGCACTGAGTGCCTTTTCCGGAAAAGCAGTGTGGCTTTAACTCCAGAAGCGATTCCTGGCTAGTGAGGTGAGTAAGAGACCTAGGTGAAAGCATGTGCATTACATGTTTTTAAGGCATACCGGAAAGGCAAAGTGGGAGAATTCCCCTCGTTTAACAGTTTCTTGAAACAAGGTAAAGGAGGCGATGACTTGCATCACGAACACAAAAAATACTTTGCATTGCCTCTGTTTAAGTTAGTCAAGAGTTGAAATGGAAAATATTTCGATTCTGGGTCCTCAGAGTTTTCCCTGCTGCTTTTCTCACTCCTCCAGAACGTAATAAACAAGGCAAGAAGTAACAGAGCTCCAACCAAGAATTAAGGAGCAATTTGTTGACAGTGAGAATGATTAATCAAGGGAGTAGCTTGTCTCCCAGAATTAGGGGTGCTCCATCACTGGAGGTTTTCAAGAATAAATATTTCTCTGGAATAGTTTGTCTCAATTTGTCTGGAGTTTTCTGCATGAGCAAGAGGTTGGACTAGAACAGGGGTCTCCAACCTTGGCAACTTTAAGCCTGGCAGACTTCAACTCCCAGAATTCTGGAAGTTGAAGTCCTCCAGGCTTAAAGTTGCCAAGGTTGGAGACCCCTGGACTAGAAGACTTCCAAGATTCCTTCCAACTCTCTTATTCTACAGTATGTTCTAAGACAGCACTTACCATTAGTCTGTTATACCGGGGCTGCAGAATTCCAAGGAACCAGCAGATGGTTTCTGTTTCTCACTGCTGCCCTCCAGGGGAATCTTGGGTTATTGCATCCCTGTACTGTGTAGGGTACAATCACACAAAACTCAGTCTGTTTTATTCTTTGTGACCCAGCTGAAGGTTTGGAAAGAAACTGCACAAAGGGTCTTGGGATTGTGTCTCTCCATCAGCAGGATAACTCTCCTAAACCTGAACAGAAGAGAGCCAAAGATGCCACTGTGGGAGGATGATAAAAAAGCACTCCGGGAAAAAATATATTATTTAGAGTGGGAATGATCTTTGAGAGAAGGAGGAAAAGCTGCGGCCTAGACCAATGTTCTGATAAATGAAATTTGAAGGGTGGAGGGGTAGAGAAGACACCTCAGAAGAGACCCTCCCTAGTTTTGGAGAGAGTAAAAGCAAGGGATGGTACTTTCAGGCTTGCAGGACTGATGTTAGTCCTTCGACATAGTGTAGACAAGAAGCACAAGCAGAAGTACTAGTTGTATCTTTATTGTAAGGGTCCTTCCTAGACTAAAATGTGCGGTAGAAATTGCTCAATATACAGCAATTTTTATGACACATTAGTAGAAGATGCTCGATTTCTAAAGCTGCATTTGCTGAAACAATACTCAGAATGTGAGAGAAGAGGCTTGTTTATATACACTTGACTTGTTTGGTTTCTTTGCAAAATGGCACCCAGTAGTGTGAGAGAAATCCCAATGCTCATTTTTGCAAGATGCAAGAAGAAACCATATGCACTTCAGGCACGGCTTCTATTAGGCTACACAGTTGATATCAGTGCAATAAACAAAACAACGATCTGTCATATAAATACTAGCTGCTAGGTACAATCCATCCATTTATGTCTGTTTTTAGTGAATAGCTTAAAGCTATCATTTAACACCATCGTTGTTGTTTTTTAACCAGAACTGACAAGCTCTTCCTGCTAGATTTTATCTCTCATACTAGAAGATCAGTTCCATCATTTACAAAGAGGAAGGGGGAGGATCACAAAGTTTTGTACGAAAAATCTCTGAAAGTTTTGCACCAATACTGTGTGCTTGGCCCTTTGGAGCAGTATGCTTTAGAAATATACATGAAAGAGCAACTCCCCCCCCCCCCAAAAAAAGTGAAAAGAAACAAAAGTACCTAGAAAAAAAACACACCATTACAGGAAAATGAAATTGTCAGGTTCCGCTAACTGAAATGTTTTCTAGAAATGACTAAGTTGAGACTCGAGATAAGTCTAGCCATGCAAACTGAGGAAATGGTGCTTTTTTTTCCTGGGTTCTTGTTAGCTTAATCAAGTTAGAATGAAGTTACTGATAGCTATTTAAATTAGCACTGGTGTTTTTGATAACTGGTGGTTCCATATACCCTACTGAATAACACCACCAAGAAATGCAATTATTAATGAAACCCAGTCTGTGATTAAGAATGAGAGCTATACATGTGGTTCTTCTGTATTTATTAAAAAATAAAGAGAAAACGGGAGAACACACAGAACACAAACACATCTCCAATGTATTCTCCTCCATGTAAAATAATCCACAACAAACATCTCTGGAAATTTTGTGCCCAGGGAAGCACAATGATACAAAGGTACCGTCCTATAGTTTAGCTGTATTTAGTATTTATATATTATAAACTGTATTTATATAGTATAAACTGTTAACTGACAGGGTGATACAATCTCATTACATTGACATAAATTTTTATCAAAGACAAGAATGAAAGATGCCTTCACAAATGGCAAAATGTTTATATAGCTTCAAGGCAGCTGAGCTAATAGGGCCCCATTTTTTCCCTATTCCAACTGGGCTCAAAGTTGCCATTGTCCCAAATATATGCTGTCTGTAGAAATTTACCCAAAGTAGGTAACAGATCAGATACTACTGTTCAGGTGCATTACAGCTATAGCTATTGCTTCTGAGGCTGTCATAACTTTTGAGGGGCAAGAATCAAATCAAGTGTTGTGCTGACTTTCTTTTTCTTCTTCTTTGGTGCACTCGTGTTTTCTTGGCTGGAAGCAAAGTCCATTTGCCATGTCTGCAAGAACCACCAAAGGGAACATTTAATACAAGAATTCATATTCATATTTACACATTCTGTTTTATATTTTGAAATTTTCAATACTGCCCTTCACTCACAAAAATGGATTGCTGGACTCAGTCCAAAGATAAGGGAATAATGCTAATACTGTTTATGTTTATCTTATACAAATAAAAGAAAGGATGAAAGAGGCAGCAAACAACATTCTTAGAATAAAACTAAAATTGCTGCTGGACTAACTCAAGTCAATAATAGATACCCCAAGTCAATGAACATATCTGGGTCAGTAATAATAATATGATTAATCAAATACAGGATAATATGATTATTCTCTCTATATCTAGCTATTCTGCTCTTCAATAGTACTAACGGTTACAACTTGGAAACATTTGGAGGGGCTCTGGGAAGGTTCACCTACTCTTGGGGCTAAAGATTATTTATCCTTTCATATAGCGGCCTCCCTGTTGCTCTAAAAATTAACAGGATGGATCTGCTAATGACGAACACTGATTTGCCAAACAAATGTTATTTCAATTTCTAATCATTATAAATTGAATACTGTATAAGTAAGAAATGGGATTTGACACCCAAAAAGCTTAATCAAATTTTAGATTGCAACAACAGAATTATGCTTTCTAAGTCATGTGAAATATAGTAGTATCATTTTATTCTGCATTGATCAAATACCACTTCAAGTATAAGTAGTTTTTGACTTACACCTGTTCGTTTAGTAACTATTCAAAGTTGCAACAGCACTGAAAAAGTGACTTATAACCATTTTTCACATGTATGACAATTGCAGCATCCCCACAGCATGTCACCAAAATTCAGACGCTTGACAACCGACTCATATAAACTGTATGACTAATATGTGCTATATATGGAAACCATTCTTGCTTAAATTTGTCAAACATCTGTTATTAATATGAGCTGGCAATTTTGTCATTATTGCATGTTCTCCAAGTTTAAATTCCCAGTATAATATGGTTGGTAAGGAATTTCTGGTGTTCAAAATGTTGCTCAATTGCTGATTTTGCTTACATATTCCTGATCGGAAATCTGAATTTTTGTAAATTAAGAAAGGAAAACATTTGTAACATAGGTAGGTAAAAATAATGCAAGTGTCATTGCGACCATTTTTACATGACAGTTAATTAATGCAAAGATGTTTCCCCATTCAACTATTTTGATGGAAAAGCAGGAAATGGGTCACAATTCTGCGAAGATACTGATTCCATATTCTAAAAACTCCGTGTGCAGTTTACTAATTTAATCCTGTATGATATCATGTTTCGTAGAATCATATTACCTTACCAGGGAAAAGTGATGTATCATTCTTTGAAATACAGTATCATCCAAAACAAATTAATAAACTGCATGCAGGATTTAGTTCCCAATCCAAATGTTGTTTCAGCCATACTGAGTAACTTCATTGAGGACATATTATAGCTCAGTTGTAGAATTACAACACACGCACAATTACCTCAGTTCAATCTATGATATTATCCAAGAAATATGGAAAATGCTATTACAGTAAAATGTCATTGTAATGGACTAACTGGAAGCCTTTGTTATTCACAAATTTTTGTTAAATATGAAAGCATCATGTGAGCAATCCTTAAATATGACAATTATACAAGCTTATGCTCTGACCATTGATGTAAAAGAAGAGGACAAAAGAAGATGAGTTTTATGTTCAGTCAAGCAAAATGTACTCCTTGTGGAATGTCAAAACTGGAAAAACCAAAAGGAAGTGAATTAATGATAGAAAAGTTTGGGGTTCCCTGATCTAAAACTTCACAGAAAAGCTAATGTTTTCTTTTTGTAAAATTCTGCCATGCCCCTGGTAGAATACACTATGTTATCCTTGAGGTGAAGATGTTCCCCTCCCACTCAGAAAGTTGAGAGTTCAATCCTAGGCAGGGACAGATGTTTCTCTATTAGGGCACAAAGAGAAACTATCTGCTGCGAAGTTTGCATAGGCATCAGGGAAGGGTATCTGGTATTCCCAAAGTTAGAAGAGAATGTTTCCTCAGTGCTCCAAACTAACGGTCCAGAGGATCCTTGTTCCCACACTATAAAAGTCTTAAGTGCATTTTACAAGCCTCCCCAATTAGCCTTGTGAATCATATCTTCCTGCGGGTCTCTAAGATGATAGGATTTATTGTTGGGCCAGTAATGGATTCACTTGGCTGGTCCAGTAATGGCTCATGGTAATTCTTTACAGGGAAACCATTACACCTTCAAAATCTCGGTAGTTTAGTCATCCCAAATTACAGACGTGTCTGTTGTTGGAGAAAAAGTGTCTTTGGAGGTTTATTTTAATATTTAATTCTGCTAGTTTCAAATCAGATCTAGGGTGAATCTTTAGCTTAACTTTTTTCATCATTTAATGGAAGGTAGGGTGAAAATGTTTCTCAACCAGTAGAAAGGTTACTGATATGCCTCTCTGGGTTAATTAACCAATAAATCTTAATTAGATTAAATTAGATTAAACTCAAGAACTGGAACTCATTTAAAGGCTTACAATTTTTTTTACCAAATACAGTAAGGAAAAACACAAAAGGAAAATGAAGAATTCTGTGGAATTCTTTCCACATAAGCATGTCCATTGAAAAATGACGCAGCAAGAAAGGCATTTCCATCTTCTGGAGACCTGCTCTCTGCCTTCTCACAGACAGATGTTCCTTGTGCACTTCCCTTGGATGGAAACAAGAGAGGAGATCATGACCCGCCCTCTGGCCTTTGGGAACTGCCAAGACCAATATTAGAGATGGGGAGATGGTAGAGTTTCCTAGGAAAGGATGGAAAAGGGTCCCCACCCTGTCTGCTACAATATTTTCCCTGCCATTCTTCTACCAAGCTGAAGGGTGGATAGGAAAAAACTGGAAAACTAACTTTTAGGGGAAGCTCAACACTTCCCAACAATAGCAAATTATACTTTGTTTGGGATCCTAGACAATTCAGTTTCTTTGTAATGGGTGTAGCATCTCTAAAATGAGGGGAATGTAATTGTCATGTTTAAAAATAAAAAAGACATTTGGACAGTTACCAGATTTAAGAGGCCAGGCATATGTTCTATGTGCAGACAAACGGCAATTTTAAAAGCAATTAAGGTACATACAAGGAGTTGCAATCTTGTCTCCTCTAATTTCTTCATTAGCTTACTATTTAATGTCACTTTCATCATCTCAAAGCTCAAATCTAATCTCTTCTGAATTTTTATGCTGCTCAGAATCACCTTGTGTAGGGGAGATGGGTGGCACAGAAATTCAACCAACAGACAAATAAAATCTATTCAGGCTTCTTTTTTCAAGTATTGCAAGCTTGCATTTAAAAAACTCACATATGATATGTGTTAGCATATTTAGGTTGTACCATAGAGCCCCATGATAATAAATCTGAAATTAATCAAAGGATAATAAAAATGGATTGAGGAGACTCATTAAGCTGCAGACAGAATTAAATTTGCATGATCAACCAGAGTTTATATGTAATTTGCTGCCAAAACTAGAAATCATGGTTTTGGGTTCTGTATTTCATAATACCTAGTCAATAGAACTGGCATCCTGATATATCAATAGATCATTCATATCCTGATAGCATCATTTCCTGTCCTTGCTCCAGGTACTTATCAACAACAATGTCTAATATGTTAATGATTTTGAGACAGGGCAAATTTAACAACATAGGACAAAAGGAGAAGTAGGCACTAAGGATGCGGTTACCATTCTGGTTTCCAATGAGAGTTTAGAAGGACGTTTTTCTTGGACCTGGGAGAAAGGAAAATTAAAATATTAAAAACTGATATGGTAAATTCTGCAACAGTAGTTAACAGAGCTGGAAGGGACCTTGGAGGTCTCTTAGTCCAATCCCTTCTCAACAGGAAACCCTATATAATTTCACACAACTGCCTGTTAAATGTTCTGTCAAGAAATTTCTCCTTAGTTCTAGGTTGGTTCTCTCCTTGATTAGTTTCCACCTGTTGCTTCTTGTCCTGCCTTTCAGATGCTTGTGGCAGCCTCTTAGATGTTGGAACACAGCTATCATGCCACATCTAGTCCTTCTTTTAATTAAACTAGACATATCCAATGGTTTATGATTTAGTGCATTGTGCAAATACAGAAAAGGAAGTACAATTCAGGAAGCCAAGTCATCTTAATTTGGTTGTACAGTAAACTGCAAAGAAAGAGATTGAAACTCACCCCCTTACATTCCTTAGCTTCCTTTGCCTACATTTAGTGGTATTTGGCACAATCTAAATCCAAATATTTCACCCACGATGTGTCAAGTTGTGGGGTTTTTTGAACTCCACCGCATGGATTCCAATGAGGGACCTGCTGCCCAATAATTGTGCTTACCTATTTCCTAGTGAGACAATAGGTAGGGAAAGTCCCTCTGCTAAGTAGAACAGAATTAATGAATCACTCATAAAGTAATAGCTTTTCCAGACAAAGAAACTGGTTTTGCCTAGTGGCTTGATTTCTTTTTTTCCATAAAATGAGCCACATGATAGTTCAAGTCTACCAGTGCTGCAAAATAGGGAACAACAGTTTCCCCATGAAAAAAAGAAAATAAAAACCTATCAGCGAACCGAAAAATTGTTGGTGCTATAAATGTACCGCTTGGGCACCAAAAGGTAGAAGAGACAATGGGCTCATAGCAATTCTTCATTGACGGAATGTTCTCTTGCAAATGTACACCAGATTGTAATATAAGGTATTAACTGGCATTTCTGGAAAAAGCACAGTGTCATGGTATTTAATGAGGACTGTTGCTCCGTGCAATGACTCAGCAAATCTGGGATTGCTGACTCAAGAAAAGTGTCTATTTTTAAGCAAGAAATGGGGCTTAATGGAACAAGCAGCCCAGAAACCTATTCAGCCACTACTTCAAACAAAATATCATTTCAACTCTACCAGGCAAACCGAGCCTATGAATTCTGAGGCCAGAAACAGACAAAGGCTAAGCTTCTGTCTGTCTTTTAAATGTTCAGCGTATGGATACAGGTTTCACTTAGATTCTTGTCAAACACGAAGTTTTGGCTAGCACCAGATGACAAAAAAAAAAAACCAAGTCAAAACAGCTATGCTCACTTTGTGAGGTGTCTTAGTACCGCATTCTTTCTCTGTCTCTGTCTCTTCAGCTCCATCCTTTCTGATTGTTTCTGAAACAAATAGTTTATATAATTTGCAGGCACACATTGAAAATATTTTGTATGTAAAAATAATCAAAGATGTGGGAAAATGACAGTAATCTATCTAAACAGAAATTTGGTCTGTATGAAAGTAGGCATTATTTGTTCATTGAAAAATATTGTGACCTTGTTTAACAAGCAAAAGTCAAAGGGGAAGCCAGATTCACGTAACAACTGTGTCGCTAATTTAACAGTCACAGCAATTCACGTAACAACTGTGGCAAAAAAAGATTGTAAAATGGGGCAAAACTCACTTAACAACTGTTTTACTTAGCAATGGACATTTTGGGCTGAATTGTGGTCATAAGGATAATCTGTACCTCAAAACCAAGCAAACTATGTCATATAAATCCAATGTCCAATTAATGACAGAAAATGCCTCTGGGATGTACACATAATGTATGTTTTAGATAGATATACCTGTTCTATCTGGATTCAAAGGGGGCATGTGCTGTGACATTGCATTTTCTTCAAACATCCTATTTTTATCCACGCAAGCAGCCATAAACTTCCTCTGCAAAACAAGTCACCATGTAATGTTCTGTTTCTTTCATTTCCGTTAAAGGAAGACGTAACTACCTTATTTGCCTAACTGACAATAAAAGGTATTGCTCAATTCACCGCATGATACATTGTGATGTGTGAATTTGGTTAACCCACAAGTTAAACGTACCACAACTGAAAGTCTCGCTATAAAAGTGAAAGTAATGAGGGAATTTAAAAACTGTTAGAATAACCACAGGAGAGAAAATAGGTAGATTTCTCTATCAGTTTTCTAATGGTTTAACCATCATCACTTTCTCCAGATCACCTTGGCCACTGTATGAGAAATGAGAATGATACGTATTTTCCATTAGAAATTTAAAATGTACTTTCACTAACAGTTCCCTGCAGGAGAACTTTCCCTTTCAGAGAGGATTCCACCTTTATTCATTTACAGAAAATCATATACCAAAAAAAAAAAAAAAACCAAACACCACACCCTTCCTTGATCATTGTCAACATCACACAAATGAGATTCAGTCTCTGTTAATGTGACTGATTTGTGTCAGCACAAACCTAATCCTTTTAAATCTATCTGGGGGAAATTTGTGTGTGTGTGTGTGCATGCAGATATGTGACTGAAATAACTACTGTAAGGACAATTCTAGAGGGGCTTTTTTTCTGGGTAAAAATCACTAAATTGGGATGCATTTTTTTTCTCTGTGCAAAAACAGCTACATTTTGACCTGGGCCTTCTCATTAAATTGGCCGATGGGCTTTCTTCATTTTGGAAACAGATTGCTGTTATGGTCTACAGGTAGAGTATAAAAATAAGAGTCATATCCTGCTCTAAAGGAGAAGGAATAATAATGGACAAATTTAATCCTTTTCCTAGGGGACAATAGGCTTTTTAACAAAAGTTACCAGAAGCTCTTTTCCACTTCACAAGAAGTCAAATATTAACTTTTCCCCATTGCTGACAAATTATTTATTTACTAAATTGATAAGCAACCTTATAGGTGCTCAAAAAGTTGCAAACAGTATCATTTCTTCCCATGTTTTTTCACCAAGAAAAACCTGTGAGGTAACAATCAAAGAGAGTATCTGTAGTTCAGGATTGAACTGTGGAATTCTTGGTGGTCTCTGAGCTACTGTTATTTGTTTGCAGATGTATTGATTAATACATTTAAATCTTGATCTTTCCAATAATACTGGCTCTCCCTAAGTTTTAATCTGTGGGCCTTTTCTGTATGTAGCTTTAGCCCTTAAACTTTCCTTCAGGTCTTCATGGGAGATGGAGTTGATCCACCTTCAATGAATCTGGTGTGTTCCATCATCCTAGATCCAGATCTAATGTAAAGACAATTTAAGCTTGTACTATCAATATATATTCAAAGACTCATGTCATATGCAGGAAGTTTTTTAAAGCAAACCTACTGAACAATTAGGCATACCTTTAAACCTATAAACCTCCTAGGAATAAAGTATTTCAGCTTTGCCTTAATAAAAAAAAGTAACAGTATATTTACTGGGAGTACTTAAAACAGGTGCCCTGCCTTTGAGTAATAAGGCCACGCACAACCACTTCATAACCCATTTTACGACTGATGTTAGGAAAACAAAACTCCCACTACAAGGTCACCCTCATTTTTGTACAAGCTGGTTTGTGGAAAAGACAATGTAACCTGTTCTGGTACTTTATTGCTGTCCTCTTCTTCATCATCATCATCACAGTCTAAACCTTGGTGGGAGATTTCAGTGGGACCATTCTCTTCCACTAGACTGTTCTCCAGCATCCCCATCCTTTTGCTGTCTGTTGTGACCTTCACTTTCAACACATGGAATCCAGTGGAAACAGATCCTACTTTGAGGTTCACAGGGTCACCATCAAAAAGAAGACCATCTGAGCTTTCGCCTTCCTTGAAGCCATGGGGCTGGTAATCAAAGGGCGTGACTGCAAAGGAAGGGGGCGTGAAATCTGGAGCAACAGGTATTGACCCCTGGACAAGAATCTGTCTGTCTGTCTGTCTGTCTGTCTGTCTGTCTGTCTGTCTGTCT